TATGTTTTAGCTAATGATAATGGCAAGTAATTTGAGACTTATGTCAATGATCCACGATCTAATGAGTTTTTAGATCTAGTTTTTAAATATCCAAATCTCATTCCAGATAAACTATCAGCTGCTAAATAACACATAACCAATAACTAATTATTTCCTAATTACATACACTTCAGATTATATATAAGTACTATCTTCGTGGCCCCCTCAAGTGAAATAGCACATCATCTTAATCCACTTACAAGTAGGCAAGACTTTTTATTGGGAATGCGTCATTAATTTAGGATTTATGAGATCATTAAAGTAGTTCATTAGTTCATGAATAATGTAAGAGACAGAAATCCTCAAATCATTTTCTTATCTCTCAACTTAAATGAACAGTCACTTCGAAAAGAACCAAATCCTTTTGCAATGTAGTTTTAAATCGGAGTTAACCAAGGATATAAAAAGCACCTCGTGTTTGTGATGAGTAATCTTTATGCAGAGTCATGGTAATATGACGCCTCATTCTTGTAACTTGTTGTGAATTTGAAGATCCTCCCTCATTTATCTGAATGGCTTCTTTATTTATTATGACAGTTGGAATATGTTCACGATGTATGCTCTCAAGATGTTGCAGTTCTATTAATTCATCCATTTGCTGTTAACCCTTCTCTTTCAATAGATGCTTTTACACCAAGTACTTTGCCGTACTTAGTTCCCAGCACTTAGTTCCCTGCACTTAGTACCCCCATGGAACTAAGTACAGATCGCGTTCACACTGGAATAAGTTCCCTGAGGGAAGATTACGCAAATGAAGCCGCTGGCGTCACTTCTTCTTCTTCTGCTTTGGGTTTACTGGCAGGCCGCAAACAACTTCACGGCGTATACTGCCACCCGGAGTCCCCGGCCGGAAGTCCCCGGAGTTGGGGACTGGCTTCAGTAGAAGCTGCTGGGACTCCCAGCAGCTTCTACTGAAGCCTTCCGAGTAAATCGCCAGAACGCCGACACCTCCTCATCTCCACCGCTCCCATGTTTTATTTTGTGTTGCCATAAGTTAGTCTCTCTTCGTTGGTGCGCTGGGCTAATGCTAATGCTAATAATGCTAATGCCAGCAAATACAATGGCGGCTTCACAAAACTTTTCAGAGTTTTACGGGGCGTGGTTTGCAATTTGCCCAGCCAATCGAAATTGGTACTTTTTTCTCCCCAGGAAAGTACCACCTCTCTAGCAGGCCCTACAAATGGGGGTAAAAGTTCTCGGAACTAAGTACTCTTTTTGGTGTGATCGCAAAATTCCAGGCACTAACGGAACTAAACGGGAAAAGTACGGGTAAAAGTACTCGGGTGTGAACGCGCCTTTTGTGGATTAGAGAATGCATAGCAATATTTTCAGACAATACACACTGAGCAAGATACTCTTCTATATGTGACCCGCTCTATCGAAATCAGTCGGAAGTCGCAACGGCTCATTTCAAAATAAACGTGGATTTGCGTAAAAAACAATTTTTTCGGGGTTCGGGTGTTTTGTTTGATTTTAAATAAACAAAGTCTTGGCTTTCAGAATATGAAACTTTTATTTCCAAAATCACACGATAAATACATTTGTGAAGCTTGTGAAGGGAAGATGACAGGCACCTCTCACTCGCAATCTGCTGTTCCGTAGCGCAGCTCCCCCTCCCTCCGGCTGAAATTATGAATGTAAGGCATATAGTAATCATAGATAACACGGCAGGGTCCGTTACAGTTTGTTTTCATCTGATTTCAATTAAACAAAGTCTTGGCTTTCAGAATATTAAACTTGTTTCGGCAAATTTAGATGATAAATACAACTATGAAGCTTGTAACGGCATATTTACAAGCGGAGAACGGAGTAATTTAACGTCACAGCAAGCATAACAACAGCCGGTGTTTCTCGTGAGTGTTTTCCCCGGGAAACAAACACAATATACACAAACGCAAAAATACACAAACACACACACACACACACATACACACACACACTCGCGAGCTTCCCCCAGACCAGTAATCCAAACGGAAATATTTTCCCTCCGGACTACTTTGATCATTTGCTCCGCTAATAATCAATCAGATCGATGGATTCCAGAGAAGAGGAAACTTTGAAGGCCTTTTTCTCAAAATGATGACTCGGTGACAGTCATTATATAATGTGACATATTTTGCTTAATATTTGGAGTACAAAAACAATCTTGATATAATTAGAAAGCTAGGAATCTCCTCTTTCCAACAGTGTATACAACTCAAAATGTGTCTTCGGGTCAATGCGACTGATTTCGATAGAGCAGGTCACATATGTACCAGTGTTGAACTGAGAACACAATGTCCTTGTACAATTTATTCTGCTTCCTTCTTTGCCTATTTTTACTCATATTTTCCCATTACTCAGTCTTCGTCCCTTCACTTAGCAGTCTGCAAGTCATGTTAAATGATTAGTAAGCCCACAAGTGAATATATGCAAAGCATCTTCCAATGCAACGGCTTAGTGAGCAGCGAGGTATGAACACACCTTGCTAAAATCCCTGTCACACACACACACACACACACACACACACACACACACACACACACACACACACACACACACACACACACACACACACACACACACACACACACACACACACACACACACACACACACACACACACACATAAAGGTATAACGCAATGTGAGCAAGTAAATACTGAGAACAACCAATTTGATTAGATATTTGCTGGGATTCCTGCAAACACATAGGCAAACGCATCCTAAAAGAGTGCAATCTTCCTGACTTCTTAGACGTGAACCCATCATATCGGATTCTGAATGCAAGGTCCAACTAATAAAAAGTGTGTGTGTGTGTGTGCGTGTGTGTGTGTGTGTGTGTGTGTGTGTGTGTGTGTGTGTGTGTGTGTGTGTGTGTGTGTGTGTGTGTGTGTGTGTGTGTGTGTGTGTGTGTGTGTGTGGTGTGTGTGTGTGTGTGTGTGTGTGTGTGTGTGTGTGTGTGTGTGTGTGTGTGTGTGTGTGTGTGTGTGTGTGTGTGTGTGTGTGTGTGTATAAAGTAAAACTAATATGAGCATTAGCAGGCCGGGGGATAACACACTAAAGCTCTGATACTGCTGTTTAATGGGAAGGCTGTGTCAGGGTTGACTGCAGCTGTGACACGCAGCCTTTGCTCTTTGTAGTGCACGTGTTCATACGCTCGTGCATGTCTTTCTATCTATTGGCCTGCCAGGAGTTTATCTCTGTGCCCATTTCCGTTCATGCACACCTGTGAACTTGGCAACCTCATTGCATTCCTGCACCTATTTGTTGGTTTTTAACAGTTTCATTTATTGCAATTGACTTGAATGTGTAACTGACTCAGTTTGTTTAGCAGTATCAGTGTGGAGTCTGTTTGTTAGTAGCTGTGTAGCTCCTCTGTGTACGGCAGGCGCAGACACCTGCAATGTTTAAAGCAGAACAGATTTCTATCGCTGACCCTAAGGCTGCTCATTAGAATTCAGCACACCTCTCCCAAATCTCCCTCCATCTCCCATTCTCATCCCCCACCCCCCGTTCACTTCTTCCTCTATCGCCGCCTTCTTTTTTTCCCTCCTCTTGCTGTTCACTTTGGAAGAGAATGCTTAGAGCAAAGGGGTGAATTATTGGTCAGTCATCATAACAATGTCTCACTGGCGATTCACACCCAGTGACAAGTGCCAAATCATGCACAAACTGCTAAACAACTGCAAGCATGTACACACAAATACCGGAAAATGTGCACGTCCAAAGGTAAGATTAGCATCCACTCATATGACTCTGTGAAATCTGACACTTTTAATCAGGGAATTATAAACCAAAGAGCTTGTAAGCCTCTTTAATGTATTATTTTGTTAAGGTGCACACAATTATTCTGTAGCAGAGTTTGAGCTACTCTCATTAAAACCCCCTAGGCAGTTGTTTCCACATAAGAAAAGCTCTAATGAACTCATTGCACAACCTGTTAGCAAAAATCGGTAGTCAGAAAAAAAAGTTTTTACTAAATACAGTTGCTTTATGTTTGTTAGATGTGAAAGTAGGCAATTGTTTGCTAAATTGTTAACCAAACCAGTGTTAATATCCTCCAAATTGATTTAATGCTGCTTTAAAGTCATTTTCCTCTAGCTCCTGTTGTTAGTTTTGAAACATGCAGTCTCATAGCAACTGTACAAAAGCACATTTAGTTTGTCACACACATTCATACTCACATACACAGGCTTATAACACAATGCTTGGATGGAGAACACATTTTAATACATTAATTGCTAATGTTTTGCCGCTTCCATTCTTAAGTAGGCATCTGTGTGCCCACGTGTGTGTCGGTGTGATTGTCCCAGGCTAATTGAGCAATTCCACAGTGGGAGCAGTGAGCTTTACGGTCACGGAACTGCGTGCCCTCCCGGAGCCGTTAGAAAGCCCCTCACTTTCATAATTACTCTGCTTTTTATCTGTGCAGCAGCTCAAACTACTCCCAGACAAATACGAGCGCATGAGGCACATATAATGAAGCATGTAATGTTCAGATATCGTATAAAACACCCACAAACAATGTAATATGCACATGCTGTACCCACTCTCATCCAATGGAACTGTCATGATTACTTGATTTCTTTTTCTTTTGCATTTGGCATCCAAGGAAACTTTGTATACAGAAAACGATATCTCTACTAAAAGGCATTGAGCCTGTAAATACTATTCAATTCAATGATACCTTTGCGATGTACAGGGTTCAGATCTGTTTATGTCAGTGCGCGGTTATATGTGTGGGTGGTTGAAGGTTATCAGTGCCAGCACCATTTATCTCTCTTGAGAGATTTGAGGCTTTTGGCTTAGAAAATGTTCTCTTCCTAGAATTTTGAACCCTCTGTTTTAATTTGTATTTGCATGCATGTGTGTGTGTGTGTGTTTGTGTGTGTGTTTGTGCGCATGTGCTTGCATGCTTTATTGCACATGTGACTTGAACAAACGCCAACACTAGTGGCCCTGTCTGTTTGTCCCATGCAGAATTTCTGTGAGTGTGTGCCCAGCTCCTCCCAGCTCAAACACCGCTGGTCAGACTCAGAAAGTGCCAGGGAGACACCGGCCAAGGTAAGGCCCCCCACCCACAACATACTGTGAACACACACACATACACATGCTTTTGATTCATGGCTTGTATCAGAAGTACATAAGAAGTTACAGCAAAATAGGGGGTCTTTATTCTTAATAATGCATCACAATGTTGAGAAAAAATATATCATATTATCATTTTTCTCTGAGAAAACTAAAAATCGACTTTTTCCTAACTGGATACTTCTTAAATCGGAGTAGGGCTGCCATTTTCTTCATCATTCATTCATCTGCTGATTATTTTTCCCATTCAATACTGACGAAAAATTGTGAAAAGGTCGATGTGACATCTTCAAATAGTTTGTTTGGGCAGACCAATAGCTAAACACCAAAATATATTACAATTGATATCATAGCAGACATATTCCGATATGAGAAGCAGAAAGCAGTGAATTTATGTCATTCTTGCTTGAAAAAGGAACAAAGTTATTGACTAAAACAATCGTTTCAGCTTTAAATCCCCACTTGATTTATTGGAACAACTGTCACAATGTAGATAATGAAGATTAAAATGAATAAAAGGAAATGTCCTGTACAGATAATCTGTTCACTGCATGTCCTTTGTGTACTGTATATATCCCACCTTCCTTCCAATAATAACCAGGGCACACTTTGAATAGTGGCATGCTCACCTGCGGAGGGGATTAGCTATCATTGACGGCAATTTTCATCGCAATCCCCTTTTCTCCCTGCTTTGCTGATGGCAGTGTGTAGGATTATTGCACATTACACCTTACATTTTGCCCTCACGCACCAGCAACGGCACAACCTCAGCTCCAGTACCCCAACACAAGTATTAAAGGGGATTAAGCCCTGCAGACTCTTTGAACTCTGCGGCGTGATCATGGCTCCACCAGGGAAACATTTGATTGGGTGGGTGTATTTTGGAGGAAGGAAGAAAACGTATGAATTGAATACCAATGTGAAAGTGTTTTTCAAGCTGCCAGGGAATAAAATGGAATTGGAATTGGTGAAAAAAACACTTTTTTCTCCAAATTGTTACATGGTCTTTAAAGGTGCCTTTGTATGTGCGCTAGTCTTTTTTTTTCTATGTACACATCACTGCCAGTATGTGTGTATATATTTGTGTTGGAGAGGGATACAGTGAGGCAGGGAGAGTATGCAAGACTCCTGCTGGTTTCCTGCTTATCTAATGAGCAGACAAAGCCTGTGGTCCAAGAACCATCTGCCAATGTTCCTGTGTGGGAGGAAAACAGCATTTTCATAGGAAAGAATTCTCTCTCATTCTCTGCCTCAACTTGTTCTATCTTTCCATCAGAATCCCCCTGGTGTCCTCTCTCAACTCCCATGGCAGGGCATGAGTAGAGACATGAGAGGATCTGAAAGTCCGCCACTAATTACAGAGAGAGCTCCTGCTGATTGAGAGGCTCATTTTCCAAAAAATAAAAATAACTGTGTTTAGAGGCTGCCTGCTTACCATTTCAATGTCATTACCCTACTGCAACTCATGAGCTGAGTTGAGAGATTGTTTTTCTCTGTTGGGACATGAAGTAGCTGTTTTATTTGTATTGACCGTAGAAAAAACTAATAAGGCAGCAACAAAAACCTCCACTCTTTATTGCCATGCTGACTTTTTCTTGCTTCCAGCCGTTCCCTCTGACTTCATTTCAGCCTGAACTCAGAAAAAGTGGGGGGTGACGTCACGTGACTTGAATTTTGAATTGAGCCGTCCCTTATAGATACTATCTCTTTACGTATGCACACACACACAATTTTGAATTGCGCCGTCCCTTATACTATCTCTTTACGTCTCCCCTCCTGGCATGGTCCTTGGAAGATGCGGCAGTGGGTTTTTTTTTCCGTCACAGGAACGCGCTTTGCTGGCGGCGAAAATAATCCCACCAGACTCCTTTGCCCCTCCAACAGAGGGATGTCCTTGTCATTTTTCCTTTTCGTCATTTCAAGCGATAAAAACTTTCGATCTTCTCTCAAATTATTTATTTTTTTGGACGCCCTCGGCTCGTCCCAGCCAGTACCTTTATAGTTTATAGTAACCCAAAGTTTAATGTTATAAATGTACGGGTCCCCAGCACAATGCTAACTTGCATAATGGAAATGTGCACAATAAGCATAAGCCTCATTATTTCGCATCAATAAGCATATGCAGATAATAGCTAAAAAAATTCTTGGACAATTTCGTTGTGGTTTTGGTGGTTATTGAGGATGTTGAATCCATTTCTGACATTTGTATGATCAAAATCAATGGCAGTTTTGAGTCCCCTATAACTTTAAAATGTACCTAAAATGAATCAAAATCAAATTGAAAATTGTCCAAATCCGCAAAGCCATTTTTGACTCATTGTCTGCATATACAAATTAATGCAATTTATGTTTTGCAAATTGCCCAACATATCCAAGTTAAAATCTGGCAGTTTATATATGCCGGGGGCCTTTACATTTCAAACATAAAACTTTGGGGTACTCGACATGTCTGGGTTTCCCATTAGGACTCTATGAGCTGGCTAAAAAGACTGTTATGGTAGAGACAAATTTGAAAGGGGGAGAGAGGGGATGACACGCAGCAAATTGTCCAATTCTGGACTCGGTGTATTGCGCTATACGGCAGCCCATTGGTAAAAATGTCTGCCTTAAACCATAAATTACTACTTTATACCTTGTTGCTTAAAAGGTTAACATTACGGGACATCATTATGCACCTGTAACATACACATGCACTGCTTATCTCCGTGTGTTTTTCAGTGAGTCGATAGCTGTCGGCTCTGTGTCTCACTGTGCATATCATGGGACACGGTATATATTCTGTTAAATGAACTATCAGTATGCTAGCAAGGAATATTTAGCGCCATGCCAATGATGGTTCCCACTGATATGTTGGCCCGCTGGCGATGGAGCTCAGTTATAATGTTACACTGCAGCCATTCTGCAGCGTGAAGCCATTATACACATTATTTACAGCACACAGAGACACCCTGCCACACACCCTGACACACACACACACGCACACGCACACGCACACGCACACACACACACACAACCAGAGCCCAGTTATAATCACTCAGCTGCACCTGCACCAAAACACTCCGGGTACAAAAGAAAAACACTGTTAGAAATGCAAAGAGAGATTTCATCATGTCAGCGTCTAAATCCTTGAGTAAGAACAACGAATAAAGGTTACGTGCGGCAATACTTCCCGAGAGCTCTTTTCTGTGATGATGTATTTGGGTGAAAAAACAGGAAGAAGTGGGAAGGGTCTGACAAAGTAATCCAATGTATTTCATGTGCATGTGCTTGCATGTCTGTTGCAAGTATTTGGCAGATAAAGGGCTGTAGCAAGTAATGTGTGTGTGTTTGTGTGTGTCTGTGTGATTGTGTACGCAGTTTGCAACCCATTTGGACAAACAGAGCCTGGGGGCAGTTTGCAGTGACAGTGCTTTCATAGATGCCAGCGGTGTCCAAAAACCAGCCGCCACTTTACTGTGTGCCCTTGCAGAAAAAACATAATGCGTTCATTTAATCAATTCACTTTCAACATCCTGCACAATTGAAACTGAAAACAGAGATTTCTATGCCGTTTTTGCATAAACAATTCAATTGAATGTATAATAAAATGAGTTGGCGATCGTTTTTTTGTCGATCGACTAATTGCTGCAGATCTAGTCTGAACCTTTTTAATCCAATTCATTAAATGTCTTTAAATCCAAGTCCCTGTTTGCTTGTTTGTTTTGTGGGTTAGTTTTTTTAAATCACCGCTAATGTCTTCTTTTTTGGTAGAGCGTAAGGGCATATGATTCCAGCAGGGACTCATCAGGCCTTTTAAAATGTGCTCTCTGGCTCCAGGCTCTATATGTGTCTGCCCATGTGAGTTGTGAATGAAGCCAGAGGGTTTGAAATTGTGCCCATTAGAGACCTCTGAAAGGACCCTTTTTTTGTGCTAACAATCGGTGAAACTCATGGTTTACATTGAGTGTATGCCATGCAGGCTTATTGTCCACAGAGCCCGCATTTCTGCTCCTTCACGGTCAAGTTGTCAGGGGAATTACAACTTTTTTTATTGTGGGTAAACACTGACGATAGGAGAGTTTCCCGGACAACACGATTGATTTTCCTCACAATAAAGAAACCATAAACCTCTCCTGTAAAGCAGACCATTAGCTGTCTATTAGTGTGCTTCACTGTGCTTGTACAGCCAATTTACATATTAATGAGCTTGCACAGACTTGCACTTCCATATGCAAACAGACAACAAACACACACACACACACACACACACACACACACACACACACACACACACACACACACACACACACACACACACCTGCCCACATATTCTCACAAACAGATCATTCTACAGTGCAGTTTCTGTGTCATTCAGAGGAAGATATAGGGAGCCAGGCTTTGTTAATCATGCGTAGTTGGGCCATCTTGTATCCATTGCTGGTTTTCTTGACCTGAGTGGGGAAAATGGATCCGGATCATAAAGGGCCATCCTACAGGCCTTTATAGTCCAGTTAATGGAGACCATGTTACTGGTAGAGGTCTGCCTCTTTCCTCTAAGAGGATCCACTCTCTGCTCATTCCTTTAAATGATATAGGCTCTCTGAGAGTCTTCAGTTTTACTTTCTCTTCCTGGCTACTGTTGTTCCAGGTTTTTATTGTTCTTTCTGCCCCTGAAATGGAAAAATGGAAACATTTGTGCCTTGACCAGAGGTGTCCCAGGCCATCATCTTCCCTCTGCTGCACCTCCAATACTCTAATGACATACAGGGAGTTTTCAAAAGGAATGGCATTTGAATAAATCTAGCTTATGCTGCTTCATAAATCATTCAAACTACATTCTGACAGATGGCATTATGTTTATATTGCTGCGCACTGAGCATCTGGCATTCAAAATATCCCCAATGATGAATGAAAGACATTACTTTTTGACTAAGACAGGTTGTTGCCGTGACTCTAGGTGTTTTAACAACCGTGGATCTAACACACTTTTTTTCTCCTCCTCCCTTCTTCTTTTCTCTCACAGAAAATGAGCTGCAGCTACCTGCTCTGCACCATACTGCTGTTCGTGGCTGTGCTGCTGGCCGTCACTGTAACTGGCACCATACTTTTTATGAATCACTACCAGGCCCCGCCCATGTCCGATGGCCTGCCACACATCTCCACCAATCAGGATGAAGCTAACGCGCTGGTCACGGTCGAGCGAGGCGACGGCTCTCGCATCAACATATTCATCGACCCCAACTGTCCCGACTACAACAGTAACTTTTTGCGCCTGGAGGGTGTGCAGACGTCACTGCTGCACTCGCTATCCGACCACGACTCTGACCTGAAGTCAGTGAAAGGCCAGGACCGGGCTCTTCTCGTCAGTCTGGCTGAGGAGGTGGCCAAGCTGTCAGCCCACGCGGGGCAGCTGAAAATGGACTACGAGTCCCTGCGTAGGGGGCAGGGCAGCCTGGGGCAAGACCTGAACACACTGCAGACAGAGCAGGGCCGCCTCATACAGGTGAGACACACCAGAGATGGCAAAAGTACACACATCCTTTACTCAAGTAGAAGTACAGATACTCATGTTAAAAAATACTCTGGTAAAGTAGAAGTACTGACTAAACTTCTTTACTCAAGTCAAAGTAAAAAAGTATGGGCTTCGAAATGTACTTAAGTAAAAAGTACCCATAACTAGCAGCTGTTTTAAAGAGTACCTGACCTCCCTTTATATTAATAGAACAATAATGTCATTGTTAGCTAATGAATGTTTCCATGCTGAACAACGGCAACATGACAACGTTTTCATTGGTCCCTCTTCTTTAGAGAAGACCAGGAAATGATGGATACACGGATCGTGTTCAAATCAATAGGCACGCAATGACTCTAAATAATAATGATCAGGCCACCAAACACACATTCAAACTAAAGGAACAAACCTGTTTTGAAAATGTAAGAAGTAGAAAGTACAGGTATTTGTGTTAAAAACGTAAAAATAATTAGTGGAGTAAAGTACTGATGCCAGAAAAAATGTACTTAAGTACAGTAACAAAGTATTTGTACTCCACTACTTCCCACCCCTGAGACTCACACACACACACGCACGCACACACACACGCACACGCACACGCACACACACATGACATTTTCCAAGAAACATATAAGCACATTTCTGGTTAACACAACATTTAACATGGTTTTTTCGCATGATTCTTTGTGGACAAACTCAGTTTTACTGATCTGTCGTTTGAAAAAAAAAAAATGTATTCTAAAAAACCTCGCTCATTTTTGTCAACTATGAGTTTCTTTAGTGAAGGACAGCCCTATATTACACAAAGGAGAAATAAGTATTTTTATGATTCTATAAAAAGGACATTCAAATCACAGAATCAATAGTAACCTTCTCCTTATTCCTTGTAAAGTAGTATAATGTTATAACTTATATATGCAATTGCTAGTGTAAGTGTTTGAAAATGCATGCACTATAAATTATCTGTGATAATGAGCATATATTACCTTCAGTTTCTATCCCATCCTGGCACATTGTCATGGTTACCACTTTGTTAGCAGCTGTTTGAATGCTGGCTTGGAGAGAGTCATGCACCAATAACCTGCAGACAATTCCTTTGTCATAACTAGATATCCAGTAAAGAAATACAATGCTCCATGTTTTGGTTTGTTTCTCTATTAGTTTTTTATAGTTGATCATTAAGGTGATTGGTTGAGCAGTAAACAGAGGAACTGAATCCAGTGTGCAAGACTCACTCCTGCACTCATGCCTTTAAGTACTGTACCGAGTTGCTAAAGGACTGGATTGTGGAGCACCTATCAATATCTATTGATTGTGAAACTACGTGTAACACTTCATTGGACTTGAAATTCTCATTTAGGCCTTTTCCTTTTCCTGACAGCAAAACACCATCATTCACTAATCCAATTCCAACTTGACCATGTTCATTTCTCTTTGAACTGTACAAGCTCAATAACGTCTAGATTAAAGTGCAAATAGGGCTCATGTTCCAATGAGTAAGAACTCTAGTCTAGTGTTTGGAAATTAGGTCCCGTCCAAGAAAACAGAACAACTTTCACACACACTCAATAAGATAACATGATGTGTTCCTAGATGTGTAAAACAGACTCTAAATTGGAGGAAAACATGATTAACCCCCCTTTTGTTTCGCTCTGTCCACATTGATTTATTGACAATGTATTTTTCTAAATGTGTGTGGAAAATCTTCACACTCCATGCTCTTTTAATTTTGGCCGATCAGGCTCAGTCTCTGTGCTCTGCAGAAAATAGATTTCATAGCTGCCAGCCATACAGCTCGAACAACTGAATGCTTTCTGCTTCTGCCAATCCTTTCTTTAAGTCTTTAGCACAGGGTTCAACATTGTTTATAAACCACTGCAAATCTAGCTGGATGGGTTTGCACTGCCTTGGAGGGCTAAGACAAACATGGGTGTTGATGGTAGTACAATGGAGGCAGAAAGAATTATTGTCCCTGCTGCTGTGCTGTAGGCATGGATGTATAAAGAGAAGTGGATAAGTGTAGAGGCAAGGTCCTGTTCATTCCCATTAAAGTTTCTAAGTGGCAGATGAAGCCAAAATGGCCTGACTCTTGAGAACAAAATTCCCCCTAGGATCTTTTGGCAATATTCTGCATGCATAGGGCCCGTAGTGCATGTGATCTTACGTTTTCCTTAAGCCCCGCCTCCAATTTCCTCTGTCACAGCAGCACCTTGTTTGGTCTCTGCTAAGTCAAATTATTTAAGAGGGAAACTAACTAACTCTCCATAGGCTTTTTTGTGCATTATATCACTTTTAGACCCTCATGATTTAAATAAAGGCATAAAGGGTATACAAATAGAGATATGTCTGAGTAGGGCTGCCCCGAGATTAGTCGATTAAACATTATTTGGCGAAAAAAGTATTTGTCGACACATTTTTCATTAGTCTATTAGTCGAAGAAAAAAAAACTCCATGTGTGCGCTGCATTAGCTTTGACCCGTCAGACTTCACTCAGAGCTGTGCCTGGTGATTTTGTTAATTTTTGTCGGCAGGAAATCCAAAGTGTGGGATCTTTCTGAGCTGTAAAGTACGAGCCCCACATGGTAACATGCAAACTCAGCAGGAAAAAGTTTCTTCCATATCCACACCACCTGAGCGCAGCTTCCTGAATGCCGGCTTCAAAACAAATCATGGAGCTTAATTATCCCCGACAACGTTCCTTTCTTGGACTCGGAAGAAAACAGCAGCAGTGAGTCAGGCAGTAGCCTAGCCTTGTATCAACATATAAATACCTATAATCATTCTGACCTCAGAGAACGATAAATTCAAGCTTTCATTCCATGATGAGGGCGTATTGTGTGGAGGTATTTTTGCCGATGTGTCCGTTTCCTGTGTAGTGTTTATTGGTTTGTTATATTCAGATATGAATTATAGAAACTAGTACTAAATGCTCGGTGTGTGTCCTCGCTCCTTGTTCCGACACACATTAAGAGTCCTTATCGAGATGAGCTGTGATTCATCGTTTTCTACGTGTAACATTTAAGTTATATGTCAAAGGTTCATTATTACAGTTTTATTTTATGTGAAGCACAACGTACCATGCTGTTATAATAATGTTCTTTATCAGCCTTTGAAACTGAAACCATTTTGGGAGAAAGAAAAAAAAAGTATATTCATAATATATCATATACGTGCGACTAATTGTTGACTAATTACCTGAATTGACGACTATTGGTCAACTAGAACAATCTTTAATCAAGGGCAGCCCTACTGTAGTTGTAGCATTATGGATACCTTAGTGCAAACCAAAAACCCCTACGGGTACAAATATATAACCTGAACCTGAGGCCTATTCAAGTGTTAGTCCCGACAAGTTGACATTTATTTTCTTCTCAACGTTATTTGCTGAATTTTAGACCTCTCTTTCCCAATGTAAGTCAATGAGAAAAAAGTGTTTTTGAGCCCAAATGACCTTATCGACTGACATGAACATGTTGTACAAGGGTTTGTCCACTTCAAAAATGTTCATCAACACTCCCTGGGTTCTTTGGTGTACTGTAGGTGGCATAGCGTAGTGGTCTCTTGGGCTACAGTAGGTGGAGGTGGTGCTGGCAACCCAGACACTGCAGGTGATTGATGCCCTCTTTGGAGGCTAGGCATGTGGTGTGCACATCCGCTGTTTCTGCCTGACACCGTGCTGTGACTGCATGATCTATAGGCCACCTGTGGCTATGACTCCAGATTTATACGATGACACTGGGCTGACTGTGCCTGTGTTAGTAACGGCTCTGTGTGCTGCAGCCCCCTGAAGAACAGTTTCCCCCTGCCATACAGAGAGAAACCCTTTCACATGTCCACACGGGCATAAGCAGGGACGTCTTATTTCAGTGACTTTAGGAGCGATGGGTGAGGATTTTGCACAACCCAACCTTTTTTTTTTACAGTCACTGCTTCCAGCCTCATATAAAACAGTATAAACTGATGGTACCAGTAAAATAAAGTAAATCAACAATACATTTAACTGATACTTAGCTTTCAGGGTTATGGACAAGGTGCAGCCTGCTGTTAGTGTAAATCAAACGTTTTGTTATGATACTGGCATTGTATTTTCTCCTTCAGTTACCTCTGAAAATAAGAGGCCCGAGAGTTGATCCCTGGGGCACTTTTCATGTCTTGATCTCAAATGAATGAATGCTACTGAAAACAACCCAGCCCATGACTTCTACAGTAAATACAACCTGACCTGACCAAGTTATGTACCAAAAAGAGGGATAGAGATATCAAGTACTTTTATTTAGTGCTATCTTTTTTCATCATGCAGGTTGAATGTTGTCAGAAAATCCAATTACATTAACAACAAAAAGTAGTTGATCAACTCTTAATAATTAAATTAAAAAGGCTTTAGTAACATGACATTTGTGACCCGCTCTATCGAAATCAGTCGGAAGTCGCAACGGCTCATTTCAAAATAAACGTGGATTTGCGTAAAAAAATTGTTTTTCGGGGTTTGTGTGTTTTGTTTGATTTTAAATAAACAAAGTCTTGGCTTTCAGAATATGAAACTTTTATTTCCAAAATCACACGATAAATACATTTTTGAAGCTTGTAAAGGGAAGATGACAGGCACCTCTCACTCGCACTCTGCTGTTCCACAGCGCCGCTTCCCCTCCCTCCGGCTGAAATTATGAATGTAAGGCGTATAGTAATCATAGATAACACGGCAGGGTCCGTTACAGTTTGTTTTCATCTGATTTCAAATAAACAAAGTCTTGGCTTTCAGAATATTAAACTTGTTTCGGCAAATTCAGATGATAAATACAACTTTAAGCTTGTAACAGCATAATTACAAGCGGAGAACGGAGTAACTTGACGTCACAGCAGGCATAACAACAGCCGGTGTTTCTCGAGTGTTTTCCCCGGGAAACAAACACAATACACACAAACGCAAAATTACACAAACACACACACACTCGCGAGCTTCCCCAAGACCAGTAATCCAAACGGAAATATCT